ACACCCACGGTACAAAGTAAACGTTTGGGACCCGTGGGAACTGTGGGACCCATGCGGCCTGTGGGACCTCGCAGAACCCCCGTGCGAAACCTCACCCAGCGGCTTCTCGGAGGCTTCCCAACGGCTTCTCGGAAGCATCCCAGGCCCCGCTCCAAACCTTGAAAAAATCTGCCCAGGGGTGCGAAAAGCAATCCTGGGATCACCCACGAAGTTTTTGAGAATCGGCCCCCAGTGACTTCGAAAAGCGATCCTGGGATCACTCATGAAATCACTGGGAAACGATCCCCAGGAGATGCGACAAGCGATCCTGGGATCACAAATGAAATCCCCGGGAATCGATTCCCAACGATTCCAGGGGTGATCCCAGGATCGCTTTTGGCACCCTCTACGCATCGGTTTCCACCGATTTCAATGGTGAGCCCAGGATTGATTTCTCGTTTGAAATCATGTGGGGTGTTTTTCCCAACCATCCTGTGATGGTCCTCGTTTTAAACAAACAGCGCCCCGCATTCCTCCTTCCTCCTCCCCCCCCTCCCTCCCCCCGTCAACCCCTCTCACTGTGGCACACCCCTCACACGCTTCGTGGCCCCAGAGGGAGTTCCACCGAAGGTCCAAGTGGCGGAACTCGCAAGCGGTTCCTGCGCCCATTACAACGTTCGGTGGCCCCTTGGGGAGCTCCACTGAAGGTCCCAGTGGCGGAACTCGCCCGCGGTTCCTGCGCCCAGTGCGGCGCTTCGTGACCCCATACGAGTTCCACCGAAGGTTCCAATAGCGGAACTCGCATGCGTTTCCCGCGCCCATTACAGCGCTTCGTGGTCCCATAGGGACGAAGGTCCCAGTGGAGAAACTCGCACGCGAATCCTGCGCCAAGTACATCGCTTCGTGGCCTCATAGGGAGCTCTGGCGGAATTCGCATGCGGCTCCTGCGCCCAGCACAGCGCTTCGTGGCCTCATAGGGAGCTTTGGCGGAACTCGCATGCGGTTCGTGCGCCCAGCACAGCGGCTCGTGGCCCCGAAGGTTCCATTGGCGGAACTCGCATGCGGTTCCTGCGTCCATTACAACGTTTCGGGGCCCCAAAGGGAGCTCCACCGAACAGTCCCAGCGGCGGAACTCGCATGCGGTTCCTGCGCCCATTACAACGCGTCGTGGCCCCAAAGGGAGCTCCACCGAGGGTCCCAATGGCGGAACTCGCCCGCGGTTCCTGCGCCCGGCACAACGCTCCGTGGCCCCATGGGAAGCTCCTCCGACGGTCCCAGTGGCGGAACTCGCATGCGGTTCCTGCGCCCAGTGCAGCGCTTCATGGCCCCATAGGCAGCCCCACCGAAGGTCCCAGTGGCGGAACTCGCCCGCGGTTCCTGCGCCCAGTGCGGCGCTTCGTGGCCCCGTAGGGAAGTCCACAAAAGGTTCCAGTGGCGGGAGTCGCCCGCGGTTCCTGCGTCCAGTACGACGCTTCGTGGCCTCATAGGGAGCTCTGGCGGAACTCGCATGCGACTCTCGCGCCCAGGACAGCGCTTCGTGGCCCCATAGGGAACTCCACCGAAGGCCCCAATGGCGAAAATCGCATGCGGTTCCTGCGCCCAGCACAACGCTTCGTGGCCCCGTAAGGAGCTCCACCGAAGGTCCTAATGGCGGAACTCGCATGCGGTTCCTGCGCCTATTACAACGCTCGGTTGGCCCCATAGGGAGCTCCACAGAAGGTCCCAGTGGCGGAATTCGCCCGCGGTTCCTGCGCCCAGTGCGACGCTTCGTGGTTTCATAGGGAGCTCAAGCGGAAATCGCATGCGGCTTTCGCGCCCAGCAAAGCGCCCCGTGGCCCCATCAAGGGCCCACTGGCGGTTCCAGCGGCGGAACTCGCCCGCAGTTCCTGCGCCAAATACAACGCTTCGTGGCCCCATGGGGAGCTCCACCGAGGGTCCCAGTGGCGGAACTCGCCCGCGGTTCCTGCGCCCAGTGCAACGCTTCGTGGCCCCATGGGAAGCCCGACCGAAGGCCCCAGTGGCGGAACTCGCATGCGGTTCCTGCGCCCAGCGCGGTGGATCATGGCCCCAGATGGAGCTTCACCGAAGGTTCCAGTGGCGGAACTCGCCCGCGGATCCTGCGCCCATTACAGCGCTGTGTGACCCCATAAGGAGCTCCACCGAGGGTCCCAATAGCGGAATTCGCATGCGGTTCCTGCGCCTATTACAACGCTTTGTGGCCCCAAAAGGACGAAGGTCCCAGTGGCGAAACTCGCACGCGGTTCCTGCGCCCAGAACAGCGTTCGTGGCCCCACGGGGAGCGCATCTTTCACACGCTTCATGGCCACATAGCCCTACGGGGAACGGCCCGCCCGAGCCTCAACTTTTCTAGACGGTTTGACCGTTCGGCCCCGCGCCACTGACGACCCGCGCGGCGCTGGGACCCTCCCTGAGCGACCATCGCGCGTCGCGGGAACTCCATGCTGCGCTCTTCCCAGCGCCTCGCTCGCCTGTCGTCGCTCTGCCCAGCTCAGAGCCCCCCGCAATCAGCCAGCAAGCTAGCTCTCTCTCTCTCTCTCTCTGATCCGCGCACCAGACGACCCGTGCGTGTCGCTGGGAACCCTTCGGGGCGACCGGCGCGCGTCGCGGGGACTCCGCGCTGCGCTGCGCCCGCAGCCTTGGGCTTTGGAGTGCGCGGGCACAACGGGAGAAAAAGAGAAGAAGGACAATCTTGGACGGTCTAGCTGTGTCGATATCCCCCATCAAACAAAACACAGACACAGGGAGCCACGCCGAAGGCTTTATTGGGAGCTCCACCGAAGGCCCCAGTGGCAGCGCCCGCTTGCCGCCGCCATTCCACTTACGCACACACCTCACACGGTTCGTGCCCCCATAAGGAGCTCCACCGAAGACGACATTCACAGATGCGGCACTCACAGCTGCAAGTGGTTGGGTCTTCGCTTCGGGTTTCGACTTTGGCGCTTGGGACTTCGGGCCTTGTTTCAGGCTTCGAGTGCCTGGCTTTCTGGCTTCGGCGTTTGGGTTTGGCTTTCGGTTTTGAAGGTCGGTTTTCGGGCTGGGTTTCTTGTTTAGGGTTTCGGGTCAGGCTTCGGGTTTTTCTGTTTCGGGTTCTCGCTTGCGGGTTTCTGACTTCGCACTAATTGTTCGAGTCAGGTTTCGGGTTGCGGACTTTGGTGTTCTGGCTTCGAGTTTCGGACTGCGGGTTTTCGGCTCGGTATTCGGCTTGCCTCGGGATTCGGAGTTTCGTTCTTGGGGTTTTGAGGCTTCGGTTTCCCTACCAGGCTATGGGTTTCGATTTCTCTGGTTCGTGTTTTCGGGCTTCGGTTTTCTGGCTCTGTTTTCAGATAGCGTCGGGTTTCTGGGTTGTGGGTGTCGGCTCTTCGGGTTTGCGGGTTTCGGATTTCGGGCTCGGTCCTCGGATTGTTTCGGATTTCGCGTTTTCAGGTGATCTGGTTTCTAGCCTCGGGGTTCGGTTTTCGGGTCTCGGTTTTTGGATTCCAGCGCGGGCATCTGATTGTTTCGGATGTCGGGTTTTCGGGCTTACGGTTGGAGGTTATTATTTTCGGGTCACGCCTCGGGTTTCGAATGTTCTGGTTTCGTGTTTCGATGTTCCAGTGTCGGTGTTCGGGTTTCTAGGTCGGTTTTCGGATTGAGTCGAGTTGCTGGGTTTTGAGTCGGTTGTCGACCTCGGGTTCTGGTTCGGTTTTTTCACTGCGTCTGGTTTCACGTCGGGTTTCGAACTCGCATGTTCGGGTTTCGGTTTTCGTTTCGGTTTTCTGGTTTTTCGGGCTGTCATTGTTCACTCACGTTGTATAGTTTTCTGGTTTCGGGTCGTTTCGGTGTTCGTCTTTCGGGCTTTGGGTTTTTGGTTACGGCGCTCGGGCTTTGGATTTCGGGTTTGGCGTTGTTTGGGACTTGGTGCTTCGGTTTTCGGACAGCCGTAGGAAGCCCAGGCAGCCTTAGGAAGCCGACGCAGCTGCAGGCAGCCGCAAGAAACCTCGGCAGCTCCAGGCAGCCTCAGGAAACCTGGGCAGCCCCAGGCGGCCGTAAGAACCTACACAACTTCAGGCAGCCTTAGGAACGCCAGGCAACCGCAGGAAGCCGAAGCAGCCGTAGGGAATCCAGGAAGCTTGAGGCAGCCGCAGGAAGCCCAGGGAGCTGGACGCAGCAGTAGGAAACCAGGAAGCTTCACGCAACCGTAGGAAGCCGCAGGAAGCTTCACGCAGCCGCAAGGAAGCCGCAAAAAACTTCAGGGCCGCCGTAGGCAGCTTCAGGGCTGCCGCGGGCAGCTTCAGGGCTGCCGCAGGAAACCGCCGCAGGAAGCTGCATGCCCGCCGCAGGAAGCCGCCGCAAGGGGCCGTTGTCTGAAGGCTCGGCTCTTGGATCACATGAAATCCCGGAGATTATTGTCCCACGGTTCTAAACTTGTTCGCTAAAAGATGTGAACCACCAGTGGGGGTGAGACCCCAGGGATTCTAGACTAGTGATTCCAAGGGATCAGTTTGCATCCCGCCTTTGCCGCAAACAGCGACTGAAACAGAAGGGAGAGATGACGACGGTGGACGGAGTGAGAAAGGAGGACGGGGACGAGGACGATGCATGGATGAAACAGCGCTTTTCGGGCGCAGCCTTGCGCGTGTGCACAGCGTGGGCACTACGGAGGATGGAGGAAGAACATTGCGCCAGGAGCGACGAGAGGATGAAGATTGAGGGAGGGAGAGGAGTAGGGGGAAGGAAACAAGGTTTTCCCTCCCCACCACGCTCACTCCCCACCCCCGCTCCGCCTCCTCCTCCTCCTCCTCCTCCTCCTTTTCCTCCTCTTCCTCCTCCTCCTCCTCTTCTTCCTCCTCCTCATCATCCCCCCCCTTCGCCCGCCAGCCCCCAAACGGACGCCCCATCCTCTCTGGCCCCCCGTATCCTCCACCACCACCCTTCCCGTGGGCCGCCGGGGGCGGCATCGATCACCTGCCCCGGCGGCGAGCCGTCCCGGCGGACCACAGCGCCGCTCCCAACCGGCGGGCCTTCGCGTCCCGCTTCAGAACCTCCACTACGGCGAACTTCTCCTGGAAGGCAAAACCAGAGGAATGGAGCGGGACAGGGGCGAAAATATAGAAGGGAAGAACAACGAGGGGATGGGGGACGGATGTGGAATGTGGATTGTACGCGACTGGCTGTATGGATACAGAGAGACACGAGGTACAAATAAGGGGGCCCGTGCTAAAGAGAGCACATTCTCTTTCCCTTTACGGAGGCGTGGGCGCGTCCGTCACCGGCGCGCCATGATAGTTCGAGGGCCCTTGTGAGACGATATGGCGGCGCACAAGGGAGTACAGAAAAGTACACAGAGAGGCGCAGGAGGAGGAGAGGCGGACAGGGGCCTGACAACCACAGTCCCACATTTCTTGCAGCCGAAAAGCTGCCTCGCCTCAGAAACTGAGAAACCTCTCACAGTAGGCACCGCAGCCATGCCACATACTATAAGAGCCTCAGCGACGCGCAGCCAGAACAGCTCCAGGCCTTGAGAGCATCTCGAGGAGAGATCCTTGAAGGGACTGTCCGACCCAAGGTCCATGATCAGGTCGTGCGGCATCTCCCTAGCGCATATCGGCGCCAGATCCATCATCCACCACTGTCCCGTTGGATGCGCAATTAGCCCCTTGACATGAGAACCATCGATGAGTCCTGAGAGATGCTCGCGAGCAAAGCGGGATCCATCGGGGACTAGTGTCTCCCAAATTGACTTTCCAGAACCTACGCGGCCAAAACAGTCATAGTGAAGGAGGGCGTCACGAATGCGATCCCTCGCCACGTCGACCTAATGGCGCGTCTTCCAGCGGTCGCTCGTCGTCTGGTTGCAGACATACTTGTTCTTCCCGGGCAGCTTGCAGGCCTTCCTCCAGCGGACGCTGATGTACTTTTCCTCAGGCCCAGGAAGTATCTCACCCTTCTGCAATGGAGGTCCTTCCAGTCCTGGAGCAGCGCAGCGATCCATAGTCGCCACGGCCGCCATGGCCTCGGAGACGGTTCCACCCATTGGTGGAGGGTTCTCGGCGAATCCTTTGAGAATCCCCAAAGCACCTGACAACTCGCCCAGGTATCCAGCTTGCGCTCCATCTCTTCTCTCCCGTTTTTCTCGCCGAGGATCTCGACCTGGTCCCAAAATCTTCTCGGCTCGGTGGCCTTCTCGCCTTCCCTCGCCAGCTTCCCCCAGCTGTCGACGACAAACGCCTTCTCCTCCTGAGGGGGGTGCCATAGGTTTCTGCAGATCTCCCGAAGTTCGCTGCAATTCACGCCGGGGGCGATTGCCGGCGCGGCGGGGGCCCAACCAGGCAGGTCACCAATTACGCACAGACGAGATCTGACACCGGATGAAGGTTGGAAGGGCTATGGATATCGGCATCCGCGCACGCCTGGAAGCGCGCGCCGAGGGCCTCGCAACGCGGGCGTTTTCTATATTCGGCGCCTCGACATTGAGAGGAGGGGGGGGCCTGGCTGCGGACCTCTGCTCAGCGCGACTGTTTGCAGCAATGCGCCAACGTGGGAGAGGCCCCACCTGCTCGAAACAATCGCCAAAACGACAAAGACCTACTCCAGGGGGGGGGGGGGCGCGAGGGACCGCGCCGACCAGCAAAACAACGAATAAAGAAACGACCGCAATCACCGCGCCGGCGCCTGGACAAAAAGCGCCCACGCCGACGGCGCGAAGACAATCAGGCACGATGGCAACGACAACTTCAATGTGCATGTGGCTCGCCCCCCATCGCCCCCAAACCCAAAATTGAAGTGTCTATATTTTACCCCCCGCGCGTCGCCTCGCGCCCAACCCCGTAACCTTTGGGTTTGGGGGGCGGGGGCGATGGATATGTGTTCGACGCAGTTCGCTATCGCATCATTTTGGCGCGATGAGCGCGGGCTCTTTTTGTCCGCCCACCGTCTCGTCGTCCATCTTCGGGTAGTCCTGCGCGACCTCGCACCCATACGCATTGCGCAATTCAATCAGACCCATGGCGATGTCGAGTGGCATTCGCGTCAACAACTTCAGCCAAATACGAAAAGTTGGCTGTCGATCATCTCCGACATGGGATCGTTGAAGGGCGCGTTGAGGTTCGGATCCTGAGCGATCGGCTGAGCACGGCTCTGCAATGCCAGGTAGTAGATCACATGATCGGTCGGTCAACGTCCGTTCCTTTCGAGCTAGGATGGCACGTCCTTCATCACATCCGCTTGCTTCACCATGTCTCGCTTCATCTGTAGGATCCCCTCATTCTCCACAGTCGCGATGTAGAGCAGTGGCTCCCCACGTGCTGGAGAAGGTCTGGTAGCGCAATGAGGTCGTCCACGTTGATCCAGGCATGGTCGTTCTCTGGCAGGGAATCCCAGGTCTTGAACACCCTGATACACCACGCTTCGAGAACGATGCTGCGGCCCCTTTCACCTCGGGTTGTCCCACGTGGAAAAGCCTGCAGTCATTGCGATGTGGGCTCGTTGTTTTGTCGCTAGGCATACCAACCAGCTTCTCCGGAGGGGTGCGCAGTCCAGCTCTTCGCCAAACTCCCAACAGGCTGCGTACCTGGCAGCATGATCGAAGTCCTGGTTCCGCTCGTGGGCAACGTCCTAATCTGTCCGATCGTGCTGTCCCCCTGGAGTGGCGACCGCACTTGGGCGCCTCACCTTAGAGCTTCGACGATGGACCAGGACGTAGATGTTGTTACTATCGTCGGGGACCAAGACGTAGACAACTACGGTCCCGGCGTGCTCCAGCCTTGAAAGGGGTGGCTTGTTTTCCTCGGTGGTCTCCTTGGCTGTCTCCTCGGCTGTCTCCTCGACTGTCTCCTGGGCCGCGCCCTGGGCCGTGTCGTCAGCGAGGTGGGCATTGACTCGAGGGCGCTGTACTACTGTCGCAGGTCATTTGGTTCCTCTCGCCGTTGGCGCTTCACCCTCTGGTGTCTCTGGGGTCGGCTCGGGCTCTTCTTGTCATTCCTCTCTCATGTTGGCCAGAGCTTTGGCAATGTTCAGTAGTGACATTCTACTGGCGACGCTTTCGGCGACAAAACGCCAATCAAAAAATAAACGATCTCAGCTAGAAATGAGTGGCGTAGCGTTGGTAGAAGCGCAACTGTCTGATTGCGAAAGCACGCGAGCCCGCGCGATGCTTCATGCCCAATTAGGCTACTCCGAGAGAGGTGCGAGCAGCACGGTCGGCACGAACGAAGTCGAAAAAAAATCGGCCGCGAAGAACGACGATGCGAGCACGACCAGGAAAAGCAATGCAATTCGCAAGGGCGAAACATTAAAACACACGTCTGGGCACATAGCAATGCGACGGCGGCTATCAAGGCAAGCGTAACTTCACTAACCGCTGAAGGTCGCGCAAACAAGCGCATGGCCGAACAAAAACACATGATATTACCACGAACCCCGACCTTCGAGGACAAATGGGGGCTCCTGCGATGTGAGCTCAGCACGTGCCCATGCGAGCCACTGTGGGGGGGGCGCGCGGCTTGCGAGCAAGTGAGCTGCAAAGAAATGCGTGCATGCGGGCCACCAGTTTTAATAGGTCCGTGCGTTGCAGGTGAGATGCCAAGAAGGCACCTCACGGTGGTTCCCGTGTTGTCCGTTTGAGGTGGTGGCGCTTTGTCGGGGTGTCTCCAGACACCCTGGGGTCCTCTGGAGCAGTGTTGGGGCCCTCTTGACAATATCTGGGGGCCTCCTGGTCGTGGGATGAACGCTGGTTCCCGTGTTGTCCGTTTGGCGGCGTCTCCAACCATCTTGGGGCCCTCTTGGGCAGTCTTGGGGCCCTGTTGGGGGCGGCTGGGGGCTTCCCGGAGGCCCGTTCCAAGCTCGTTGGGGCCTCTTGAAAGCCTCTCGGGGGTCTCCTGGGGGCCCGTCGGGGCCTCCTGGGTGTTTTTTGGGCTGGGGAACCCGAAATGTCCCTGCCGCCTCTCTGAAGTTATCCTAAGCATTCCTGAAGCTTTCGGAAGCTGTCTTCGAAGCCTCTTGCGCCGTCTCGAAAACGTGTTGGACTGGTCTGGGCACTCCTGGGGGCCTCTCAGGCCGTCTGCGGGCGGCCTTTGGGGCCTCTTGCGCCGCCCCCGAACGTCGGGGAGCCGAGGGCGCCGAAACCCGAAAGACATTTAGAAAACCAGCGAAGACCAATAAATTTTGACACGCGGGGCTCTCTGGGAGGGCCTCTCAAGCCTCCCGAGGCGCTCCAGGAGCGCCGAGGGCCGTCTGGGCGCGATGTTTGGGGCCTCCTGGGGGCCTTGCGGAGCCTCCGGGGGGTCCTTTTGCGCGGTGAGATTGAAATGTAAGTTCCTGCCCTTTTTCCTAAATGCTTCCCGGGGGCGTTCCTGGAACCCTTGGAGGCCGTCTTGGAGGCGTCTTGGGCAGTCTTGAGAGCGTGTTGGACTGTCCGAGCGCTCTCTTGGAGGCCTCTTAGGCCGTCTTGGGGCGGTATTTGGGTCCTCTTGGGCTGTTTTGAAGCGTCGGCAAGTCGAAAACGTGGAAATCAGAAAAACTTTCAAAAACCAAGCGAAAAACAATACATATTGACACTTGGGGCTCTCTGGGAGGGCCGAATTCGGGTGCCTCCCGAGGCGTCCTGGGAGTTCCCTGGGCCGTCTGGGCGCGATGTTTGGGGCCTGCTGGAGGCCGCGCGGGGCCTCCGGGGGGTCATTTTGGGCGGTGAGCTTGAAATGCCGGTTGCTGCCTCTACTCTGGAGGTATGTTTGGGCCGTTCCTGGAGCCTTCGGACGCCGTCATGGGGGCCTCTTGGGCCGTCATGAGGGCGCATTGGGCTGTCTGGGCGCCTTCCTGGGGGCATCTGGGGCCGTCTTTGGGCGGTTTGGGGGCCCTCTTGGGCTGTCTTGGCGCGTCGGCGAGCCGAAGACGCGAAAACCCGACAAACATGCAAAAATCAAAGGGACACCAATGCATCTTGACACTGGGGGCTCTCTGGGAGGGCCGCTCGGAAGCCTCCCGAAGCGTCCTGGAAGCCCCCTGGGCCATCCGGGCGCGATCTTGGACGGCCTGGATCGACCCGACGGCGACTCGTGGCCCT